CGTCTTATTCAAACTTGGTTATCAATCATCTTTTTCTGGAAATAGAGCAGGCCTCTCAACAAAATGCCATGTGATCGCCTTCTGAGTGGTAGATTAATTCACTCAAAGTTTGCTTTATGGCTATAAGGTTTTCCTTTTGCTTTTGAGGGCTAAGATTAATATGTATGGATGGATGACAGAGTTATATTTGCTTCTCTTTGTCGTTTATCTGTAACAGGATGAGTGTATCAAACCTATAACGAATTCCCCGTGCATGTCTCTGAGGCTTCTAGAATTTAGCAATTTACCTTTTTCTATTGATCTAAGATTTGCTGGCTACCTACCCGGATTTTCATTTAATATTTAGCTTGAACTTTGAAGATTGATAGATATGAGCTTTTTACTAAAGTTTTACAAAATCAACCGGGGCTTAAGCACAAACCTCCAGCAGATGTTCGTTATATATATATATATATATATATATTGCTGCAGCTTGGTGGGTGTTGGGCCTACCTCAGCTGGCTGCAGTAGGAGAAAAGGCTAATTCATGGTATCTGTTAGTATAGATCTTCAATGTCCTGTTTCGCAACAAAAAAAGAACCTTTTCTCAGGTCTCAAAAATTGACTGAAAGTTATCCAGAAACAAGTTGGTGATGATATGGTATTGTATATTAATAAAAATCGTTTTTAATCATTCAAGTATACATGCTTTGCAGTTGCAGGATACTTTTTGATCAGTTCCAAACTGTTCTATGTATGGCACTGCTATCCCTGAGTGTTTCTGACCGGATTCACTGTCCCATATGCTTATCAACTTAAGTTTCAAACCAGACCAAAACTTGAGCTGTTTAGGGAGATAAGGTTGGGATATTCTTGTTTTGGCCACGTATAAACCTGGGTATATGCCATTCGCCGGTGTCACAGTATTGGATATGTGCTGATGACTCTGTGACTCATGACTAGACTGCAAGTTATGGTCACTTGACAAAGTAACATATTCTCGGTGGAAATTAATCATTATCTGTAGGCATTTTCCTTTTTGTAACTTTCTTCAAGGAGTGATCATTATCCGAATCAAGAAGCTAAGGTGCTGTTGAACCTGTGCTCCTTGTCATAATGTCCATACATCAATGATGAGTAGATGAAAGCCAACAATGTTCTGTGGGAATTTTTGCACCAGTCAGCGACAACAATCAATGTGTCCTACACTCATTCCTGTTTGCTCAAGGTTTTTCCCATACTGGAGTTCCATAGAACTAGACCAGTGGATTTTTTACGTGTTTATTACAGGTTTTTAGCATATTCCTTCTGATTGGAAGTTTATCTACCAATAAGAACTGTCAAAAACATAAAGATGGAGATTTGAATAGCGATTTTATATTTGAGTCAAGTTGGTTTCGATTATTACTTCGAAGAAAAAAGTAGCAGAAAATACTCAAACATTTCAAAAGTCTAGTCAATAATCATTTCCTGCTTGATTGCAGAACGCAATGTTTATAAATCCCATTTTCTTCATCAGGGTTTTCACTTTCAAAATGGTCTGCGTTCAGCAACACTTTGATTAGATCTTTGTATGTAATTGAGGCTCAATAGATCATCGTGGACCATCTTGGCGTCATAGCAGACAGCTTTTCTCTGACATGCTTTTTCGTGGGTGCAAACAATTTCTTTTCAAAAGAAATTTTCAACTTTTTATGTGAGAACATGGCAGTTTTCACATGCTCATAACTCATTATTTCCTCTCTTTGAAACTTGAGAACCCGAGAAACCTAACTCACACGTGTTGTTGTCATCAAAGAAATAGTTCCTGTGTCCCACCTTTCGTATAGCATCAACCAAGTTTTTCATGGTGGTGGGCTCCCCATTCTTTGATGACCATACCCACTTGTGCTTTTGCTGATCACAGCTTGGGTGAAATTTGCCTCCGAAAAAATTGACTGTACAGGAGCTTTCTCTGACAAAAACTCATCAGCTAATGGATCAGTTTGATCAAACATCCTTTGCTTTCAACATGTATTGATAAATGAATCAACTTCAAACATTGTTCTGAGTTTTGGGGCTTAGAACCTTTTGGCTCCATGTAAGGTTTTCTGGTTTTAAGCTTTGTGCTCTGAAATTGATGATACTACATCCAAATTCCAATTCCAATTCCAATTCCATCATAACATTTTGTTCCCATTTTCACTGGGCTGTGTGGGTCATCTTTACTAGGGCCTAGCTCTAGGCTTCACTTAGCCACAATGGGTACAACCTAATCATTTTGATTCTTTTTGGTGGCCCTATGGCGTATCCAGGATAAGAAAAATGAAAGTCTCTCCCATTTCCCAAGAGAGAAAAGATTGTTCCTCTTTTGTTCATATGATCTTAGTGAGAAGAAAGCTAGAGATTGTGCAATCGTGCCATCCTTCCATGTTCCGTTCTCTTTTTTTTTTTTGCTAACTAACAAGAGTTGAAACAATAGATCTGCCAAAGTTTCTTTTTCTTTATGTTCACTGGTGTTAATTGTTATGCTCTTAATCTTAAACGAGTTCCTCACAGTGATTAATTGAAACAGTAGCAATCATTCTATCTCTCTCCTTAACTTCAGATTAGAAGTTTTTTTTTTTTTAATTTTTATCTGACAAGTAAATGTATTGAGTTGATTTACCATCTTCCAGGTCAATGGTCGCAGGCATAAAAGAATGGGTGATACTATTTTTTTTATTTGTTTATTTAAGGCCATCACAGCATTTTATTGACAGAACGTACGATATTATTAGAAAAGAAAATATAAATATATTTGTAAAAGTAGTTACCTGTTTCTTGTTTTCCCCATTAACTTCGTGATAGAATTTCCCAAAATTTTCTTTTTCTTTAAAGAAAAAAAGAAAATTACTAAACTAATAATATAAAGGGCAGGTGACATGTCCTCTCCTCTCTCTCTCTCTCTCCATCCCATCCTGACCAAAATAAAAGGTCGAATAGAGAAAGGGAAGGCATATATGATGGACCGGCTCATATTTCTAGTCATTTAATTAAAATGTAAATATATATATATATATATATTTTTGAAACCCAAAGGGCACATCTTCTGGACTATCTCTTTGTGGCAAGAAACACGTTGCAGAAAGATATCAACTACTTGCTCTTTAAGCTACACGATCCCAAGTGATAATCTCGTAAGTTTTCTCTCATATTTTCATGGTTTGAACACGAAATCTTGATTTCAAATTTTAACCATTCAGACTTCCTTAATTTGCTGATAAATATTATATTATAACTAAAGATAGTAATTTAATGATAAAAAAAATTAAAAATATTAAAATTTGAATTCAAAATTTATTGAATGTTTATTTTAAAAATTAATTGCATAAATCAATAAAAATATATTATGAGTTTACATTGAAGTTTCATAAGTAAACAAATTGTACAAAAAAATCGATGATATAACTATACATCATTAAAACAAATACATGTAGAATGAAATTCAGCTGTTGTTTGAATAAGCCATAACTCTTAAATATGGATAACATCAACCTCAAAATAAATGGGACAGATTTTGAATCTACAAAAAAAAAAAAGAAATGACGAAAATGAAGACTGAACTGTGGTCATAACAACCCTGAGATGAAAAACTTTTTTTTTTTGTCAAATTGATGATTGGTTCCATCTGTAAACTTTTGTTTACATCAATTGAAAATGACATTTCAACAAAGATATAAACAAATTAACCTATACAATATTCAAGTATTACATTGTGCACTCAATTAATCACCCTATGCTTGTGTTTACTTTAACCTTTCTTTCTTTTTTCTTCTAAGTTTTTGGCTAGCTATACATATGTTTGTGCAATTCTTTTTTTACTAGCAATGTGAACCTTTAAGATCCCTCCATGATTACCTGCTGGTGGAAGAGTTGAAAAAGCTTAAGCTTAACTAACTTTGCCTTGAAGCTTTGCATCAAGAAATTAATATTAATATTGTACAAAATTTTCCTTTAGCTATCAATATGGACAATGCTATTTGTTACACCCTAGTGACCACGTCATCAGCATCAACATTCTTGATTTAAGTTCATGAAAAAAAAAGCTGTCGATTGTTACAGATTTGAATTCAGGGTATGGTACTTACCGTCGATAAGGGAAGGAAATTAGAGGGATAGTGTTACTTATTAAGGCTTCGTTCCATGGTCACCTGTAGTATGATAGGAATTTCATTCTTACCTCACTGGAGTGACCCTTTGAGACCAAAATAACAATGGCACTTGCACTGAAGCCATTAAATCATTTCTAATCATATTTGCATGTTATTTTGAATGGAATGAGGTTTGGCATTTTTGTAATAAATTTGTTCAAAACTAGAAAAAAATAAATATTGGGAGCAATGGACCGTTGCCTGCAATCTCACCAAAATTCAACCCAATTATTTTAAGAATTGATCAAATGTTACTCAATGATTAATTTGTTTTAATAAACGAAATGATTTATATATAATAGAAATACACATACCATCATATCTAATTTTTAATAGGAAATTTTCAAACTAGTGTTTAGCTAGTTTTTAAATTGTTTCGTCCATAATTGCATTTTCAGTAAGTTTTGATGAAATTATAAAGGCATCGATGATCTGATAATCTACTGAGAAAAGATTATGTATTTTTTACGTTGAATTTAAAAAAAAAATTGTAAGAAATTATTGAAAGGATCGGCGATTAATCGCACCGACCACGAGTAGTGAGGGCCATGATACGCTGACGCCAACCAAATCTTCAAAGCTCAAAAAAAGAGAAATACCGCGCCAAGCCGTTATAAGCCGAGCCGCACCACCACTTTCGCAATACAACATTTTCACGCTGCAAAAAAACAAATCAAAATAGACGGTCGAAAACCGGCTATAACCGGTAAACTGAAAATTGCATTTGGATTGAATTTTGGGTTCATTTGCATTTGCCAACCTTGTTCAGTGTACCTAACCCCAGTCAGATTCTAACCCAAATGTGACCCATCCATCTTAGTTTTATTTAAAGTGTGAGAAAGTGGTTAGGCTAGCTGGGTACTGATTTGCGAAAGCTCCCTGCACTAAATCTTCCCCTTCTTCTCTCTTGAAACAAAAAAAAACTTTGTTTGCTTTCTAGATGAATAATCTTAGACTGCCGTAATGTGATTGAGTAATGATGTAAAAGAAAAGAGAGAACAAGAGAGAAAAAAAATACAGATTTCTGATTTCTTCTCTTGTAGGTTTGGGTTTTGGGAGGGAGTTCTTTTTTTTTTCTTTTTGTTTGCTGGAAGTTTGGCTTGTTGGGTTTTTTTTTTTTTTTTGGTTTTTCTTGTCTTGGATGGGAACTGAGAGGAGAGAAGAAACAGTGTTGAACAAGGAGAAGAAATATGATGGGGAAGTTCAGAGAGGGAAGTGGTTGTTGTACAGTTGTAAACTACTCCAGCCTTGTACAAGTTGGTCTTCTTTTAAACAAGGGAGTTACTGATTTTGCAAATGATACAATTTTGCATCTCTACAACAACATCCCTTGATCACTTTTAAAAAAACAACCACACACATATACAAAAACTAACGACTTTCAGAGCAAGAAGAAGAAGAAGAAGCGATCTGTTTTTAAAAGAGTGTTCTTTTCGTCAAGTTCATCAACCATGAAGAGACTTGGCAGTTCAGGTTCCTTGGGTGCTTTGATCTCCATCTGCCCAACCACAGGTTTAATAAAACAATCCCAATTTTAACTTCACTTTATTTTCTTGTCTCTTTACTCATAATTCAGTCATTCCGAAGAAGAAAAAAAGAAAAGAAAAACCAATCTTAGATTCGCATTCATATGTGAAACTAAGTTAACTTTTTTTTTTTTTTTTCAGTTTTTTGGACAATACCCTGTTTTAGTATCTTAATTGTCTGTATGTTTTATATTGTTACAGAAGAACGAAGTCCAAGAAACGACCATATTTATAGTAGAGAGTTTCAGTCCATGATAGATGGAATAGATGAAGAAGGCTGTGTGGAAGAATCAGGCCATGTTGCTGAGAAGAAGAGGCGGTTAAGTGTAGATCAAGTTAAGGCCTTGGAGAAGAATTTCGAGGTTGAAAACAAACTTGAACCTGAGAGGAAAGTGAAACTAGCTCAAGAACTTGGTTTGCAACCTAGACAAGTTGCTGTCTGGTTCCAAAACCGCCGTGCTAGATGGAAGACCAAACAATTGGAAAGGGATTATGGCCTTCTCAAAACCAGTTATGAATCTCTTAAAGTCAATTTTGAAACCCTCCAGCATGACAATGAAGCTCTTCTCAAAGAGGTAATAGTAATTCACTTATCTTATAACTAGCTTGGTTTGCTTTTAGCTTGTTTTGAGTGCAAAGATCATTTTTTACTCCATCCATTTGATCTTGGTATCATTTGAATTATTCTAATTTTTCTTTTGATGATGCAGATAAGAGAGCTGAAGGCAAAGTTGAATGGAGAGAGCACAGAAAGCAATATTTCTGTGAAGAAGGAGGTGATTGTGCCTGAAACTGATAATAAAACACTGGAACAAAGTGAACCACATCCAGTTTCCTCTCTGGCTACCTCATCAGAGCCAGCAGAACTCAACTATGAGAGCTTCAAAAACAGCAATGGATCAGTTGGCGCCACCCTTTTCCCAGACTTGAAAGATGGGTCATCAGATAGTGACTCGAGCGCTATCTTGAATGAAGACAACAACAACACCAACAACAGCCCCAACAACGCGGCTATTTCTTCGTCTGAGGTCCTACAAAGCCAACATCTTTGGATGTCATCGACAACTTCTTCACTCAATTTCAACTCATCTTCTTCTTCACCATCCTCCATTAATTGCTTCCAGTTCTCCAAAACGACCTATCAACCCCACCAATATGTGAAGATGGAAGAACAAAATTTCTTCACCGCAGATGAAGCTTGCAACTTCTTTTCAGATGAACAAGCTCCAAGTCTTCATTGGTATTGTCCTGAACAATGGAACTAAATGAGGAGCAATTAAGACAAGCCAAAATCAACATGTATGTAATATGGGACCAAACCAAATGCAAAAAAATAAGGCAAAAAGGCAAGTTGGGTATCTTAAATGAAGCTCCAAGAATTTTGTAAGATGGAATTTTAGAAGTTAAACTACCCTGATCTCCGCCTGTGCAAAATTGAAAGATGGAGGTCAAGAATTATAGTAAAAAAATGGGAATTTGGAGCTGAAGAAGAGGCAGGGAGACAAGAAGAAGAAGAAGAAAGAGATAAAGAGTTTGAGAGAAGTGACACCAAATCGGAGGGGCGTGCGGGAATGATTTTATTTTCTCTCGTGCTGTAAATGGAAAAATCTCCGGGAAACCAAAAGTTCCTTCTAATGAAGAGAAGCAAGAAAAAAAAAAAAATCATCGATCATCATTTCCCAGGGCTTCCTTTCATGTGTCTTTTATGCAAAAATAAAAAAATAAAAATTAAAGGCCAAATTGTAGTTTTTCCAAATTCAAGTTAATAGCGTGTCATTTATAATTTGCTGTGTTTTTAAACTGAATTTGGCTCAGATTTTTCTTGAAAGTTAAAAATTTTGGCCGGACCTTGGCGCTAGTTGTCTTCAATTCTGATACCCTGGATATATATATATATATATATATATATGTATATTATATCATTCTTACCAATTGATGAGTTGCTTCCTAGTTGCTTGCAGGCTTCCTATTGATGATGCCAAATTCCTCTATTTTCTGGCCTGGGAGCTTAAACAATTGAGATAATATAGATTAAATTGAAGAAAAAAAAAATAGAAGGGATTAGCATAGTTTTGTAGCTCTAGGAAAATATATATGAATCAAATTTGAAATTTTGAAGATACTGTTTAAAACTTGTGTCAATTTTTTAAAAAAAATTAAGACTATCAAAAGGAATATAATATTGGATATAAGAATTCTTTGGTTTTTTTTTTTTTTTGGATTTACTTTTTGATTCTTTTAACAAATTAACCAGCCTAGTTTTATCACCTGAGTGCCAATTCAGGTGATAAATTGGTGTTGCAACAAGTTGAAATATTGTGAACATCGGAACCTTATCCATGGGTATAACTAAATCAAAGATTGAAATTTTCAGTCCAATGTTTGAAGGGTGTCTTAAATCTTGACAAGCTCCAAAAGCAAATATTATGAGTCAAAAGTTTCAAGTGATGTGGAATTTGCTTGGTAGTTAATAAAAGAGCATGTCAATACTCAATAGTTGTAGTTTTGAGTAGCAAAATTGAAGAGAGAAAAAAAAAAGAAAGAAATGAGTGGCTAATGGAAAAGCAAATGATCCTGTTGGGAAAAAGATGGATGATTAAAGTGATTGGTTCGCCCAAAATTCTAATGTTGCAGAATATTTGCTTTTCCAGGAAAGGGTGTGTTTGTTTTGACAAAAGTCATCATTTAGATCGATGCAGAGGGTCTCTCTTTTTTTTTTTATTTATTTATTTTTTAAAGAAGAGAGTTCTAACATAACTTTAAAATAAAAATCAGATCTGCAAAAACTCTACAAAATTACTTGAAAAAATCATGTGGTGTAAACATTTATCTTTGGTTATAATTTTTTTTTACATTAGGATTAGTAGAGAAAACAAATTCTCTGCTGCACCACCCCCCCCCCCCCCAAAAAAAAAAAACTAATATAAAAACAGCAAAAAGCACATCATTGCTGCGCAATCAATTTGTTTATTTTCTTGTGCATGGTTGAAGAGAAAAAAATAATTGAGTGTGGAAAATTTTTATTGTACTTTATCATTGTTTACATATTCATATTTGAATCTTTATTTAGTTACTTCAGCATTTAAACTCTTTTTTCTTTTATTAGTTGGCTTAAAATCTCTCTTTACATACACACATGCGGATGCACAAAACAAAAGTCCGCACCTAACACTAAAAATTTCTCTTCTATGCCAGAATGCGACTCCTCTCATAAAAGACGCTAGAGAAACTTTAAAGATCAAAGGAAAAAAAGACAAAAGATGATTAAAGAAACCCTAAAAAGCAGCACCACATGATTGTAAAGCGTCTGTTGGAAGCAGCCGCAGCTTTTTGTTTTGTTAACACTAAACATTAAATCCTTCACTTTTTTTGTGTTAAAGTTGGCATCCCACCCAAAGTTTTTCAACTTAAAATTATATTTAATTAATTTTAAAAAAATTCCAAATTTTCTCTTACTAAAAGAAAAAAAAATTTAGAAAAAAAAACTCAAAGATTGATAAAAGAAAAGGAGAATGTCGATGATCTTTTGTTTTTACTTTATTTTAATTTAAGGGAGATAAATAAAAGAAACGAATTCAAAGAATCAAGGGGTATTGATTATTTTGTATTCGAAACCTTAAATTCATATTATTTTTTTTTAAATGATTATTTCGAGGTTTACTAATGTGTTATATGTTAGTGATTAAGTTTTTTTTTTTTAATGAAAGTCATTGAACCTTAATTTATCAATTTTAATAATATATTTTTTTAATATTATATATAATAGGCAAATCAAATAATTTTATTGGCCACTGAACTTGACAATCAAATATTAGGCATCTCCTTTTTTTTTTTTTTCAAATTATGATTTTTACTATTTTTTCAATATAATAAACATAAAAGTATAAAGTTACTGAAATTTGAAACTTAATTTTGCAAAGCTTCATCCTATGATCCTAGAAGGTGTTTGAAAACTTTTTCTTTTTTTTTTCTTTTGTGTATTTATAATTTCGTTATGATTTTTTTTTTAAATATAACGTGCACCTTTTTTACGTACGGTAAATCAAATCATATTTTTATCTCTAGTGTTAATGATAACATATTATATTATACTTTAATTTTATATTTTTATAATTAATTACTATACAAAAATTAACCTCGCATAAAACTGGAATCGAACACTAATAAAATTAATAATTAATAATCTAATAATTTATTGATAAAATATTAAATTTTATGTTAACTTTAAATATAAAAATTAAAATGAAACAACTCGCTGCATGCACTAATCCACTGATTAAGCCACGTAATCTATATTTGATCACTTGGCTCCAAAAAGCATACTCTCTTTTTCTTTATTTATTTTTAATTTGTATCTTTTTCTAAATTTTAGCTTTTTTTATTTTTGTTTGTTTTTGTAGTACGCCAGTACAAATTGTTTTGGAAAAGTCGTAAAAATAAAACCAGTCCCGTTGCTAGCAATTAATGTGAAGGTGCAGGGTGTGTCACATGGTGAGGGTGAAGTACAAGATTGGTTTTTGTCTGAAAACATGACCGGCTTTTTGTGGTTGTTAGTTCCCTGTACTAAACTCTTCTCTGACGCTTCTTCTACACGTGTATACTCAGTCTGAGCCTATGCACATTATTTCAAATGTGGATATTCAATTCGTGAAAATCTCCTCATCACTTATTTGTATCTGTTTGAAGCCCAAATTTGTCCACAAACAGAGTTTGGCATCCAGAAATGTAAACGAGGCAGGACGGGACGGGTCGGAACGTAATTTTGTTCGTCTATTTTATATTTACAATATTTGAATTGATTTGATTTTATAATTTTTTTTTATATTTGAAGTTAATTTGATTTGATATTATATAAATTTAATTTAATTTAAAATTCATAAAATATTATTTTTAAATATAAAATATTATTTTTTAATATAAATATAAAATTATGTAAATGTAGATATAAAATTAAAAAATAATTTTTTTATATATATAAGATTAAGTTAAATTGAATTTGCTTAAAATTGGATTTTAATTTATTATTATTATTTGATCTAATCTAATCTAAATTTTAATTTTAAAAAAAGATTAACCTTAAAACATCGTATCAAATAGGATCAAAATCCGCTTAGACAAATTAAGCTACCATCTTTATTGGCATCCCTCCCTCCACTTCACCAAATTAGATACTTTTTCGGCCATTAGCAGCCTTGAAAGGTCCTTAAATGATGATTAAGCTAGGAAACATAATAATCCTAAAGTTGCGAGTAAATTTGATATATTTATTATTATGTCATATTTCATTTTAAATATAATTTTATATAAAAAATAATTAATAATGTTGATACTAAAATATTATATAAGAACATGATGTTTCATTTGAAAAAAATAGAAAAGCATTTTACACATTAATGAATAAAAAGTACTATTGTATGCAAGCTGTAATAAATCCAAAAGGCTTTAGAAGCCATAGTCCCACTTATTAGTGGTTTTGCCTTTTAGTCTATAATGCCTTAAGGTTGTCTTGTTTTATAATTTGTGGTGAAAAAGTAAGAATATGATGAGGATAAGATGTTAAATTTTGCTCATAATGGCTGTATGGAAAAGATCTTCTCATTTTGTATTTAAAAAAAAATGTTTCAATCTCAAAGCCTAGGTTTTCTCCTTTTTTTTTTTTAATTAAAGATAAATTATCATTATGCTATAATTTAATATTAAATTTTGTCACTATAATTTTTTTGTCTAAAAGAATTTAAGGTGGGAAGATACTTTCTCAATCCGCATTCAAATCCATCAAGCTTAAAAAAAATTATATTAAATTTAAAAATTTTCTACTAAAAAAATATATTGATAATGAAACTTGAATTTAAATTTTACAAATAACATATTCGAATCTTATCAATTTTCATTAACTTGTCAACATAATTTAAAGTTTCATTGATTTTTAAACAAAAATAATAAAATTAAAATAAGTTATTATCAAATAATAAAATTTTAGAAATATACTTTAAATTATGTTAATTTTTAATAAAAAATAATAAATTAGAATATTTCATATATGTATTCTACTAATTTGACAAATTTTCATTAATTTAGTTATTGTTTACCTAAAAATCAATAAAATTAGTAAAAATTTAATATTGATCCAAATTACAGTAAATTTTTTTCACTAAAGATCAAGAAATCCTCAGAAGGATTTGTCAGGTTTATTTTTGTCTTGTACCAAACAAGATATGGTAAACTATTCAGTTCTGAGCCTGAAAAAAAAAAAAAAGAAACAGTAGCCAGTCCTCGGTGTCTGTCCCACACTAGACTGGGGGCGCAGCTACTGCACTAGTTTCAGTCCATGACATGTGAGCTTGGCATTGTTTATCAACTTTACGATATTATAATATGCTATATATA